CCTTCCCTGCAGCCCTGCTATTCCCGCTGCCGTTGAGCACCAGGATTCAGATACGGACTGCCTGTCCTCTTGGGGCTCCTGTTAAACAGCTTGGGGAGGGCTGTGTCCTTGTCGGTCCCATCAACAGGCCGAAAACTCCCTGGGGAAACCATCTCCCTCATCTCCTTCCTCGGCCCATAGGGTCCAGTTTTGGGGATCTCCACACTACGCCTCCCTCCTTCCCAGACTCCCTGTCCCTTCAGGCCTGTTCCCCACCAGGTGTCAGCAGGAGCCAAGAACCGATGCATGCTGTGCCTGCTGCGTCATCCGCAGGTACACACTGCCTCTGACCCAGTTACTGCGCACGTGACCGGCGCCGTGGGGAGCCGTGGAAGCAGCACGGTCCTCGAGGCTCAGCAGGCTTGGCCTTGATCCTAACGTGCGCCACTTTCTAGCAGGGTGACCTTGAGCAAGTCACGTTACTTCTCCGGGCCTCAGCTTCCACATCCGTACAATGAAGGAAGTAACAGTAACAACAGCACCAGCACTTCGATAGGCCGTACTGCACCCAGGAGAGGGCTAAGGCTAACTTGTCTGACCTGTGCAGCCCCCGGAGGTAAGTATTAGTCATCCCACTTCAGAGAGGAGGAAAATGAGGCACAGGGAGACCAGATCACGGGCCCAAGGCTTATGGCGGGAACTGGAGCTGCCTCCCAAGCCAGGGTGTTGGGATATCTCACCCAGATCCTGCAAGCGGGGAAACTGAGAGCTGGAAGAGGCCAAGGATGCCAGGCCTTCTTCCCCCAGCTCCTGCTGAGTGCTGGCTACACAGGCACTATTCCAGAGCTTGGCACGTGTGAGTGCATAGCTCATTCATCCCCACAATGACCCCAGGCCGTTGGCACGTCAACTCCTTTCGGATGAGACCTTGAGGCCCAGAGAGCAGCTGTCAGAGTCAGCCAGCTGTGTCTGGCTTCAGTGGGAACTCAGCACTGATGGGTATTTTGTCACCATTGCCGCTGTCCCTGTATCTGCTGGAAGGAACAGCAGTGGGCTTGAAGACTGTGACCTTCCCAGTGTCAGGGGCTGGAGGCCTCAGCCACCGCTGTCCACTCCACTAGTCGGTACCCATATACCCACCCTCGGGCAGGCCGCACTGCCCTGGGGTGCCACGCACCTTGCATCTGAAGGTTGTGTCCTCATGGGCGCTGAGGGAGGCCCTCTGTTGCCCATCTGTGTTTCCAAGGACAGGTGGGGCCTCTGGTCTTCCTGGCAGCAGTTGTGACCCTGCCACATGCTGGGAGGACAGGGGGTGGGGTGGGCAAGGGTTCCCCAGGCAAGAAGCAAGATGAACCACCTACCACTTCCTGTTGGCTGCGGCTGGCTCTGACACCTTGTGAAACCACACCCAGCCATCACCCCACTCGGACCTGCTTTGGAACCCCCGTTCCCTACAACACAATTACACACACACACCACACACACACAGACTCTCACACATGTAGACATACACACACACAGACACGAGAGCCAGACACACACAGACGCACACACACAAGAGCTGGGCAGGCAGACACACAGACATGCATATGTACACATCCGGACACATGTGAGAGGCATGCCCATAGATACAGACACACACACGCAGACACACACACACTGCCACCAGCGTGGTCAAAGTTCACTCACTGA